AAAAACTTAGCAAATGCAGAAGACCCTTACACTCTAAAATAACTGAAAAAATTAAAATAATAAATGGAAGGCAGGCGTTATGTATATTTAATGCTTTGATAGGATTTGAAATTCCAACATAGAACTGAACTGAGCTGAACAAGAGCATGTTTTGATTAAATGAAATTTAGCAATCCTGCAAAGTTTCTTCTCAGTTGTATGCGTTAATTTTCAAGAATGTAGTTCTCTTTCATTTGCACCATTTGAATGGAAATTGACTGTAGAAAATGATTACTACTTCTGAGAAGAGGAATTCTTTGGACAATTCCATAGAAGGGCATTAATGCAATGCAGTTTGCCATTAGATCAATTTTATGCGTTTTCATGGCAATTATCTTTCTCACAGTCTCTTGTTTATTCTGTAATGTAGAGATATAGCAGCATATTTCCATGTATGGGACCCAATCCAGCTGCTGCTAATTTTTGTTTAATAGCGACAATCTAATAATCTGAAAGTTTTGTTAGTTTCGTCTTGGGACATGCGTGCATTTAGTGAATACAGGCCATGGTGATTTCAGGAGAGAGGCTACTTCCAGGCACATTAAAAACTTTTGAACAAAAGTTGTTCTTTGTAAAATGTTTTGATCTCATTTTTCAGTTATGTCTTTCCCATTTAATTCTCTATGGGTATTTTTAAAAAGTTTCAGCAACACAGACGATCCTCTCCTATAGAAAAGCATTAATTGGTTCTCAAAAAGTGTAATTTCCCACACCTACGTATATGAGCATGAATTCATTTGCACAGGCGATTGTGCAAGCATTACTTCATAGCTAGTGCTTATTAGAATAAGCACTTTGCTAGTGCTATTCTTCTCACTGAATTCAGCAGGTAGTTTACTTCTGTTGTAGGTGAGCTCAAGAGTGGACTCTGATTTGACCTACTGCCTACTTAAGAGCAAGGAGGTGAAATAAGATGTTTATAAAAATTGGAGTCCTTTTCAGTGCTGTTAATCCTCTTTTAATTTTTTTTTTTTTTTTTAATATTAGTTCAAAATAGGCAGAGCTTGGATGAAATTCCTCAGTCAAATAAAGCTAGGAAAGGCCATTTCACAGAATAATGGGATACAGTTCAGATTAGCCTGGATTAATTCATGGAATACAGTGGAGAACCTTCCTGAATTCTTGGCAAAGTGCCCCACGTCTGGGCACTCCTGCAATATAATTCTCTAGCACAGAACAGTTCACATGGCAGGTTTACCTTTCTCACAGTTCTGGTAAAGGGGAGATTCTGGGAAAAACAGGTCTACCTTGGACCTGTAGATCAACAAGTTTTGGCATTCCCTGTTCATGAGCCATACTTTTAGAGTTGCAAGCCCTTGAGTTGGAGCAGTTTTACCAGTAGGATTTCCATCATCTGAAGCTTGGGGGAAGACAGCTTGCTTAGAGCATTCCAGTTCTTGACCATGAAGGGAAGAACTTGACAATTCTGGGAAGCTCCTCTGTGACTGGAACTAGGCTCAGCGATGTAAAAGAGGGGCCTGGAAACCCTATTGCTACTGGCTTTCAACTTAACTAGACACTAGCAGGTCCAAAAAGCCCATTTTGTGTTTTTAACTTCTTGTTTTAGTGCTTTTGAAGTTATCAGAATGCCATTTTCCAAAACTTTTCTTCTGTTTTAGATTTAAAGTCTGAAAATTAGCTTTTTTCCTTGTTTCTTTTTTTCCATTTTTCTTTTTTCTATTTTTCTGTTGTGCACGTTTTTCTCTGCACTCATTTTTCATTTCTTTGTCCTTTCCAGATAGATCTAAAAATAAGTTCAGATTGGTTTCAGTTTTTGTGTAAGGTGAAAGTCTGGTTTCATTCTGTTTTTGATGACTGATTTCTAATTCAATAGAATCCTACAGATGTGAAGTAAAGACACTATTGTAGTATTCACATACCTATTCAATCAGCAGAAAAGCTTAGAATTTTGGGAGATCAACCTCTTTCTACAAATGTTACTTTTCCTTTAAATAATTGCAAATTCAGCTAATATTTGAATTCCAATGGGGAAAAAATAGGTTTCTCTGTGCCTGTTTTTGCTTTGGAACAAGGAGCAGCTGTGCTGAAATGGTGTAATAATGGTATGAAGAAAAACAAAGGAAATTTTTTTTTTTGAAACAGTCCCCCCGGACAAATGACATGAAAGGCTTCTGCAGACAGCATGTGTATCTACTGATGATGAATCAAAACCTTATCTTCTTTTGATTTGTTAACCACCTTTGGGCCTCAGTATACAGCTTTTAATCATATTTGAAAAATATTTATGTTGTTCTTGTTTGATATGTGAGTTAATCCTCATCCTATGTCGTTCAGCTTTGAACTCCACAGTGCTTTAGAGATGTTTTAATTTTTTTGGCTTAAAGATGAGGAATGAAAACTTTAAGGGGTGAAAATAAAAGTATAGCTGTACTTGGTTTGATTAAATCATTTACTAGAATGAAGATGAGTTTCATCTTGGTGAAACTGGGCTCTAACTAAATATGACAGAGGGTATTCACATAAGTGGTGCCCTTCAGAGTTCATCTGAGGCTACTTACAATTCATTTCCTTGTCAAAGACCCTAGGAAGATTATAATGGCCATGAAGATGGATATTTTAGTTGGGAACAGTGGAGATCTATTTTAAAGATACCATAATTGGACAGTGCTGGTTTGATATCACTGTTGGAATTTCCAGTTGGTATTACCTTATTAGTTGGCACAACTGTCAGGTAAACAGGCAATGAGAATAAGTCAGGAACAGCTTGAAAACGAATTGGACAGCAACCCTTGCATTGACAACACTCTATTTTTCCTTTTTCTTAAAACAAAAACAGAAAAACAGTTTTTGCTCAGTTCTGCAGCCCATTATATTCCATAGACCATCTTCAATTCAGAAGTTCATTGTGAGAAGTTCATTTCAGTAGTTTGCTACATTATTTCAATTTGATTGTACCCAAGAATCAAAATAAGCATAAGAATGCATGGCCCACTCATGATTTTCCTCAGCCTCCCAAATAGGATATCTTTTTGATATAAAGCCCTGTAGTTTCAATCCCTGAGGTATATGTTTTTGCTTGCTTTGATAATTTAGTTAAATAGTTTTTCTCTGTGAAATGTCAGCCATGTGCAATAAATAAGCAAGTATGTCTTTAGCATTGATAAAATGCCAGGTTTCAATAGCAACCTTCCTTAGTCAAGAAGGTTAGATATATGAACAAATACTACCTTAGGTTCTGTGCTAGGTCTCTTCTGTGATACAGATAACAATATATAACATAGTTGAATCTACTTCTGCAGTTCAAAATGCAGAAAAGCAACTATTGCTTACATTTCTTCATTAGCTTTTAGCGCCTCCAGACTCTAGAAATCACTCAACAGAAGATGATATTTGGTTAGGCAGCTTGGTGGTTGAGCTCTTTCAGCTGCTCATTAAGGATTTAGCCTTTTCATTCATCTTGTGTAATGAGGTTTCAGCAAGAGAAGGGGTCACTTAAGTGTTGGATGGGTGATCTCTGCAGGTAATGACCAGAATAAGAAGATGGATGAGATCAATGTTCCAGAAACTGATTCAGCTCAGGGCTATTAAAAACTTTCCTCTGTGTTCTCCCAGAAGGCTACACCTGGCACAGACAGGGAGATGCAAAATGGAAAAGAAACTAACACTTTAGTATTATTTAGTATTTAGTTTCTCTCACTTTCTGAGAGAAAATAGAAAAGAGAGATATCTGCTATTATTAATAATGTTGTATTTTAGATGACATTATTTATATGCCATAGAATAGAATGTTGTTATGTCTCTGTTCATTTCTCAGCACCAGTCCAGTTTGTTTCTATCCTGAGTGCAAATGCTTAGGACCTAATGTTATGATTTTGCATTAGAAACAGACTATTTTGTTTAAGCTTTGGTTTTACCACTGCTCCAAGGAAGCTAAATTTCATAATATTGTGAGACAGTTTAGTCTCATTCATATATCAAAAGTAATATTTTTGTAGTAATTCTAATCTGATCAGTGCTAAGCCAGAAGCTAAAGCTTTTTTATTTTGTTTTGTTTTGCCATGAAAACACTGGTAAAGCACTGATCTTAAGCAAAACTGTGAATTTGTTCCAAATGTGAATATACCTCATAATGTTTCTGATTTTCCTTTATGTATAAAATAGCCCAAGAAAAAGGGAAAAAAAAAAACCCAGAATTTTCTTGTTGTGAAACAATCTGTCATAAATATTCAGGTGGTTGTTTATAGTAAAAGAATTGAAAGATTAATATGAGAGAGCAACTAAATTCTGTCAGATGTAAATCTAGTGACGTGTTTGGTGGTTTACAGACCAAGTCTTCAGTTTGACTCATAAGCTCAGATTTGTGTTCTCACCAGATCACACCTATAGAGAGATGTAAATTCCATCTCTTGTTGAATGAAAAGTGTGGATGATATATTTAAAAACATGCTACCCTCATGTTCTTTTAATTTGTAAATGAAGGAGAGGCAATTTGGAGCCAAATCCTGGTTCTGGAAACAGATACTGCAGTCTGCAGGCCCAGAGTCCATTCAGTTTCCCATCCTCATCAAGGAGTGGCACCTAAAAAGACAATAGGGAGACTTTTGCATGCGCTGCTTTGAAGTAGGCTGTGTCCAGTGCACAGTTTGCAAGGTGATACCTTGACTGGAACATCATTTGCTGTTAACAGTGCCCACAAAAGCTTCACGGCTGCAGTTCTCTTGCTTTTGCTTCTTACTCCTGCCCCCAAATTCATCTTTCTTTGCTTCCTTTTCTTCTCCTCCTCCTTTCTTCTCCCTTCTCTTCTTTTCTTCTTCTCTTCTTTTTTCGTAAGTTCTGCTCCAGCTTTGCATGGTTTACCTGATTTATTTCAAGACCAATTTTGTGTTCTTGGAAATCCAAAAAGAAACGAACTGTCATGTGAATTTCAAGGACTGTTTGCTCTAGAACTTGAAGCCTTGATGTAATATTTATTATTTAAGAATTTATTTTTCTTTTCATAGGGATCACACTTTATAGCCAACCATATGGAGGAGCCTTCCTGGATGAGGACAAAATGTGAGTGAACTCTTAAAATATATAAAAGAGCTGCAGAGAGCAGACAGTTCAAGTGGTTCATTTAATAAGAATGTATGTTGCATGCAATAGATACAGTAAATTGAGACGCACAATTGAGTTCCAGTCAGTGAAGTATTTTCTCCAGTTTGCTATTTATATGTCAAATCTACTGCTTATATCAGATACATTTATATTTTTGTAGAGAAAAACGCTGAATTTGTCCTGTCTATGCTTTAAAAAGTATTTGTGAACAGGTCATTCTCAAGTAGATTAACTGCTTGAAATGATTGGCTCGTTTCTAAATTTTAATTTTCTGTAAAGAGGGAAATGCTGGCAAAAGCTTCACTTCAATGCTCAAACTTTGAAATACAGGTTCTGTTCTGTAGCTCGTGTAGGATGTAACTTAAGATGTCATCTTGTTCTAATTCTCTGATGAAATGTTGGGAGTGTACAAACATGGTGTCTGCATACAGGATTGAGGTCCAAATGTCTATTATCCTCTTCAGTCAGCACCTATATTGCATGAACAGATAATAATTACCTATTTGTTTAGGTAAATAATACCTTTTCCAGCAAGGAGTTGAAGAAATTTTTTTTTCTTTTTTGCACTGTATTTTCATTATGCCATTTCGCTTTGAACCCTAGAATGGAGAATGTTCGTCAGTGTGGGGTAGCACTCTGTATCATGTTGGGTTTCTCTATCCTTACTGCATCCATTGGAAGTGCAATAGTGAAAGATAGAGTGTCTGGCACAAAACGCTTGCAGCACATCACCGGCCTTGGATACAAAGCTTATTGGCATGCAAACTTCTTCTGTGATATGGTAGGTACCATGTGGGGCAGCATATGTCTGGATGTGACTGACCTCTTGAGTGGTTTGATACAACCTAGCAAAAGGAGATATGGTCACAAAGCATAAGAATTCAGCTTGAACTGTGTAGAGCAATCGCTTTCAGCTGTCGCATGTTAACAATCA